AAACCAAGATAGTCCCAGGCAAAGCAGTATGGCTGGCCATTCTACTTGCTGTCCTGAAGCTATCATCATCCTTGAGGGTGAGATGTTTTGAGGAGAGAATGGCTCAGTCAACATCCAGCACGACCAGCATTTGGTTTTTCCAGCCCTAGTCTAGTTGATAGCAGCCATGTGAGTTAATTCAGACAAGACCAGCAAAAACACCCAGCCGAACTTATCCCACATTTCTGTCCTGCAGAGTTGTGAGCAAATGCAATGGTGGTTGTTTTAAGCCACGTAGTTTTGGTTTGTTAAGCAGCAACAGATAACTGACATGATATTGTAGCCCCTTAACTAGAGGACCTTATACTAAAAGCCTAAGGCCTCTCTATCCCAGTAAGAATCATAGATGACTTGACCACTCCTTCTGCTCTGTCCATGGATACTTCTCATCCCATATAAGAAAGCTTTGTCTCACTTTCTTACCGAACAAAGGGATAACTAGTACACTAACTTCTGGGTTGTACTTTATTGAAGGTTCTTCAGCATCAACTATTTCACCATCTGAGCATGCATGTTTTCCACAAATATTTTTTGTGCATCTATATCTGTGTCAGGCATGTCCTTGGCATTGAAGATACAGTCGTGAGCAAGACATTTCCCTGCCCTCAAGTGGAAGAGACAGATGCCAAAACAATAATTCTGTAAATAGAACATCAGGTAATAACAAATGCCACGAGGAAACAAAAAGCTCAATATGCAAGTAGGTAAAGGAGTAGGGTCTTTTCAAACAACAGTGATAAAAATGAACAAGGAAGAATTTACCAAGGAAGAAAAGCTATAGCCATTGTCCAGTTTAGGAGATGCCAGGGAGCTGTTCTTTCAGCACCTCTCCCTTCGTAGAGCATTTACTGTGATGTGGGATATTCCTCTGGCAGAGTAAGAAGGAGACAAAGATGAATAAACCATGGATCCTTTCCCCCAAGGGAATTATACCTGGAAGCATCACAAAAATGCACAACACCACAGCACATTAATTTTTCTTGTGCCACCAGAGAGCAGGTATCTGTTTCCTCACCAGTGCTCTTCCACCTCACCTGGTCACCTTTGCACTCTCCAGGAAATTCTGATTTCTTTTAGTTTCTTAAATGTTTGTGTCCTTCCTGCCTTAGGACCTTTGCTCATCCCTCAGCCTAGAATGCTCCTCTCTCCTCCATCCGTTTACTTTAGCTTTCACTAATATGCCATGTTTTGAGGGAATTGTAACACAGCTTGCTCAGACTGTCAGTGTATCCGTTAACTATAAACAATAATGCTGCAAAACAAAGAACCACAACAGTCTTAGCAGCTTACATCAATGAGCATTTATTGAACTCACAGTGGTACAGGTTAGCTAGAGGTTAGCTGACCTGGGTTGGGATCATCTGGGCAGCTCTGCTGATCTCAGGAGGGCTCTCTCATTCATTGCTTTACAGCACATCCACCCCTTTATTGGCCGACACATGTACATTTCTGAAGCAGGGACTACCCACCCATGTCATATCACATCTTCTCCTCCCTTTGCCCAATTACAGACTTCCTGAAAGTCCCCCAGCATAAGGATCATGCTCATCACATCTCCCATATCACTCAAAGCATATCCTGTGGTTCCTTAATGGTGTTTAAATTATCATGTGCTAGAAAAATGAGTGGTTTGATGCTATGTACTTAGTATTCAGGAGATTTCATTCATGAAGTGTTTTGAAAACTCAGTGCTTGAGCATTGTTGATGATTTTCCTCATATTCCTCACAGATGCATGGGGGAAAAATTGAGCCTTCCAAAGATGAGTTTACTTAGCCTGTAATAGGGCTGCCCCCAAAGGTGTCCATGCACATGAGTATTGGAGTTGGAGATGTGACAGCAATGATCCCACCATGTTTTGATGGGATTTCAAGGCACCATTAACAGGCAGTTCCGTGGACCCTGATTCACTTCCTACAGGTTCTTGGGCGGGCTTGAAATATTGTGAGTGTTTCTCACTAGTCTTTAAGGTTCATGGGTCAGCTAATGTAGGCTCTGTTTACCTAGAGTGGCTTCCCTAGGGTGCCTCTCTCCACCTGCCTCTCAGCCTCCTCATGGGATGTGTATTTTCAAGATGATGGAGAGGCACAAGAAGGCAAATGGGAACACACTAAGACTTGTCAAGACCTACACTTGTAATTGGATCACTGTCATCTCCGTTTCATCTCACTGACCGAAACAAGTCACATAGTCATGCCAAAAGTCAACGGGATATGGAAACACACCCTGCTGTTATGGGAGAAACTTCCAAAGCCACAGGACAAAGTCACATGTAGTTTCTCCTTGAACCGGAACCAGTGTTGCAATCTGCCATAATCACCTTCCTTCTCACAGCCTTTCCAGGCACCTTCTCAACTCCTTCCCAGGGTTCACCAGACTTAAAATGATGTTACGATGCATGCATTTATGTGTTTGATATTTTACTCTCCTACCACAATAAACCCCACAAGTGCAAAGAGCACGTAAGGATTGTTCATTTCTGAGTCTACGTAGTGCCTAATGCGGTGCTTGGCACATGGTAGGTACTCAGTAAGTATTTGTTGATTGAATGAATGTGAGTGGCAGAAACAATAGTGGAAAGTGTTCACAGGAGGGAGAAATAATTTCTGAATGAATTGAGCAAGGCAAGCTTCTTGAAGCAAGGGGCTGTGAGTTAAGAATTAAATGCATTTCTCTGGGGCGCCTGGGTGGCTCAGTCGGCTAAGCATCCGACTTCGGCTCAGGTCATGATCTCATGGTTCATGGTTTTGAGCCCCACATTGGGTTCTGTGCTGACAGTTAGCTCAGAGCCTGGAGCCTGTTTCAGATTCTGTGTCTCCCTCTGTCTCTGATCCTCCCATGCTCACACTGTCTCTCTGTCTCTCTCTCTCAGAAATAAATTATAAAAAAAATTTTTTTAAAAAGAACTAAATGCATTTCTCTCTGGTACAATTCTGCTCCCTCTGACTGATTCTAAAACAGTGATTGGACTTCAAATGTATTCATTCCAAACAGCAGAGGGTTGGATATACCACCCCTCCCCTCCGGATTTGTGCATGGTGGTGAGGCCTTTCGGAGGGCTCAGAGACTTAGCTGAGAATGCCCTGGACTGGAGCCACAAAACTCTGGGTTCAAGCACTAGGCTTCCCATTCACACTGTCTCTGTTTGCCCCTTTGCCTTTAGCATCTCAATCCTGCAGTCCTTCCTCCTCATGGTGAGAAAACTAATTTTGTTAAAACTTCTGTATCAAAAGGCCTCTAATGGCCCGTGGCATCCTCAGAGTCAGTCCCATTTATTTTTTTTTTTAATGTTTTTACTTATTTTTGAGAGAAAGAGACAGGATGCAAGCAGAGGAGGAGCAGAGAGAGGAAGACACAGAATCTGAAGCAGGCTTCAAGCTCTGAGCTGTCAGCACAGAGCCCGATGCGGGGCTCGAACATACAAATGGTGAGATCATGACCTGAGCTGAAGTCAAATGCTCAACCGACTGAACAATCCAGGTGCCTGAAGTCAAACCTATTTCTTGACTTGTGTCCTATCTGTTACCACCTAAGCTCTAGCAGTACTGTATTACCTTTGATTTCTAGAAAACACCAAGCCAATTTCCTGCCTGGGACTTGATTCACACAGTCTCCTCCACCTGGAACGTCCTGTCCTACTTTCCCCCACAATCCTCCTGCTCCCTCCAAACCCCCCTTAACTTGGCACACCCCTCACTGCCTTCCATTTATTACATCCTCTGGAAAGTTTTTGCTGACATGTCCATAAAACTGATCTCTCCCTCCTTCATTTCTGCCTCTCTTATAGCACATGAACTACTATAGCACATGAACTACTATAGCACATGAACTACTATTTGAGGGTGCTTGTATGACATAGTGGTTAAGAGCGTGGATTTCAAACGCCTACTATGTCACTTGCTTGTAGTAGATGATAGCCCCTCCTTTACAAAGTGTGAATTGAATAGGATAAAAGCACTTGGAATATTGCTGGCACAGAGGTCCTTCAATGTTAGCTGTTGTTTTATCTTCATCTTCTCTTCTCACCATGCTTCCTCCCTTGCCTGGGCTGCTAGGAAGCTCTGAGAAAGTTATGGTAATAGTAAAAACATCTCTGATTACCTTCTTTGGAGAACTTTTTGTCCAGTTATGGAAGGAGACATTAAACCAATAATTGCACAACTAAGCAGTGATCCCCAGCATTGTTGGACACTGTGAATAAGGTATGCAAGCATGTCACTTGGAGAAATTGAACTGCTTGAGGGGTAGTGTCATAGGCATAATAATGACCTCCGAAAGATGTCTGCCACCTAATCCCCAGAACCTGTGAATATGTCACCTTATGTGACGAAAGAGGCTACAGAGATGTGATTAAATTAAGGATTTTGAGATAGAGAGTATTCTGGACTAGTCAACTGGGCCCAACAGAATCTCAAGAGTCCTGATAAGTAAGGGAGGGAGCAGGAGAGTCAGAGTGAGACCTGACTATGCATTGCTGGCTTTGAGGATGGAAGAAGTGGACATGGGGTAAGGAATGTGGATAACCTCTAGAAGTTGGAGAAGGCAAAGAAGAGGATCCTCCCCCTGAGCTTCCAGAAAGAACAGCCTGATTTTAGCCTCATAAGGTCTATTTTGGACTTCTGACCTCCAGAACTGTCAGATAATAAATTTGTGTTGTTTTAAGCCACCAAGTTTGTGGTCATTTATTATAGCAGTCCTAAGAAACTGATACAAGTCATCAGCTTAACCCATTTTTAGAATAAAGGAGAGAAGGGAGGGAGGAAAGGAGGAGGCAGAGCTAGTTAAAGGAGACTATCTCTAGGGTCTTTTGCCCCCTAGCAGCCTCTGATGCTATCGCTCGCACCGCTTTACTGCAAGTCACCTTTAGCCTTCATTTTAAAACACTCAAAACCAAACACACGGCTGGTCCCAGAGCTCTTGCAAACATATGGAATGGAGATCCCCATGGACATATTGGAAACATTTTAAATGTAAATTAATATTTTAATATGAGCCTGGCTCTAGTACAATAATCCTCTGTGCTGCCTGGCAGACCACAGGGAAGCTGTGATTGGTTTGGTGGGAATGCCCAGTCATCTCTGTACATAGAAGCAGCACATCTAGGTCCTGCACTGCCTGGTGGTCATTCGAACAGGGCGGAGCCAGGCTGTACTTTGTTGCTGGGCAGGCCAGCGAAGGAGGAGGTAAAGCCCAAATACAGAGACAGCTGCTATGTGAACAGAATGCCCTGGAAAAAGGCCCACCCTAATGAGGCTTGCTTAATCTTGTTTTAAAATTTCCTCTCCCAATTCTCTTGCTCTCTACATCAGCAAAAGTTGCTCTCTGGATGAAAACCTCTCCCTGCTTCTTTGCTACAATTCCTCTCCCAGAATGCACTGCCCCAAACAGGGAAGTCGGAGTGGTGATTTCTCTGTCTCCATCCCATATCTGCTTTCGAATGGCTTCTTCAGAGAGGCTGTCCCCGACCTGTGTGAGCTGGCCCAGTCATTCTGCCGTATTCTGGATTTGTCACTGTTGGAATAGTTCTGTTTATTGATTTGTATGTGATCTATCTCTTTCTTGCTCTTTCTCCCCACCCAACCAGAATGCTGGCCCTTGAAAACGGTGACCTCATCCCTCTTGAATGCTGCTGGGTCCCCACTGCCTTCTCCAGTCTTGCCGCTGCCCAGTGGTCACATTCTTATTTCTCAACCACCAAGTTACAGACTGAACTGTATCCCCACAAAAACTCATATGTTGAAGTCCTAACCCCCAGGGCTTTAGATTGGAACTATGTTGGGGGAGAGGGTCTTAAAGAGGTAATTAAATTAACATAATGTCACTTGGGTGGGCATTAATCCAGTGTAACTGATGTCCTCATGGGAAGAGGAAATTTAGACCCCTTCATGGACAGCGGGAAGACCATCTACCAGCCAAGGAGAAAGGCTGGGAACAGATCCCTCCCTCATGACCTCAGAAGGGCTCTACCAACACCCTCATCTCAAAGTTCCAGCCTCTAGAACTAGGAGGAAACAGATTGCTATTGTCTAAGCCGCCCAGTCTGTGGTGTTTTGTTACAGCAGCCATATAAACCCATACAGACCTCCACGGGGAGAACCAGGGGCCTGCAAGAAACCTCTGGATGAGTGCCTGTGATGGGTTCCTCTTTATCATTTAAGTGCTACTAGCAAGTGCACCACACACTCAAATTGGATAATTTTGGGTGAGGTTAGTAAAAGGACCATTTGCAGAGATGCGGGGAGAGTGTGGGGCAGCATGAGGGAGAGTACAGGATGCTGGGTCAGGCAACCGTGGGGATCTGTTACTACCTCTGGGCTGCCAGGGACGGGGGCAGGGAACCATCAGTAGGAACCTGAACAGAGAGAACATTCTGTGGAAGCAGAGTTGCCTGAATAGAAACTCTGGCCTTTGGGGACCAGCCCAGCTGGCTGGGAAGCTACAGGGAGGGGGGCCATGGAAATGAACAACCCTACATTACTCTCTTCCCTACCTTGCCAATCAAGGCTCAAAAATGGCAGAAGTTATGGATATGGTCCTTGTGGTCCAGCCTTCTGGGGGCACAGAACAGTGGAGAGTAGATCTGGAGGGCCAAATGGAAGTTTCCAGCAAAACACCCTCTTTCCTCATTGCTGTCTAAATATTTCTCTTCTGCTTGCTAACTCCTGCAGAGAAATGAAACAAATGCACATTCATCTTCAGCTCTTGTAATCTGGGAATATCATTCCTAAACAACATTCTCAATACTGAATTTCATCAGAGACCCCCCAAATGAGTCTGTGCATTGAGTTTTATCTCTGCTTCACTGACAGTGTTCTGAGGAGGGCAGCATGGTTTACTGAGCACCTATGAAGTATCAGACAGTTAACCACCTTAATCCTTACAAGAATTACAAGGTCAGAGTATTGTCTCAGCTTTCAGATGAGAAAATGAGGGTCAGAGAAGGAAGCTTACCAAGGTCCCATGGCCAGCAAGTTGGCAGAACTAACAGACTTGAACCCTAGGATGGCTCACTTCAGTGTCTGTTTCCTTATCACCCTACCAGATGCTTTCCAAAGACACAAAATGGCTCCAAAAAGAGCTAACAGGTGAAATAAGACACTCAGAGTAACAATAATGCCAGACACATATTGAGTATTTACCATCTGCCTGGACACTCTGATTCATGGGAAATATCACATCAAATCCTCGAAACTACCCTAATCAGCTCTGTGCTCTTGTTATCTCCATTTTGAAGATGGACCTTGAGTCTTCCAGGCGTTAAATGACTTGTTCCAGGTAAGTTATGTGCTCATAATCCAAACCCCAGGCTGCCTGACTCTGGAGGCCAAGATCTTTGAGAGAATTACAGTTTCAAAGAATCAATTAAGATGAGCAAGAATTTAGGAGGTGGGTGGAGATAGGAGACCTCCCACCCCTGCAGCCCATCCATGGAAACCAACGCAATCAGCACCGATTACCTTCCAGTGAAGGATAATGTCATTGTTTTGCACCATTAAGAGTGGGAGGAGCAGGGGCGCCTGGGTGGCTTAGTCGGTTGAGCGTCCGACTTTCGCTTAGGTCATGATCTTGCGGTTCGTGGGTTCGGGTCCCGCGTCGGGCTCTGTGCTGACTGCCAGCTCAGAGCCTGGAGCCTGTTTTGGAGTCTGTGACTCCCTCTCTCTGGCCCTCCCCTGCTCACGCTGTCTCTCTCTCTCTCCTAGAAATAAATAAAACATTAAAAAAAATTATGAAAAAAGAGTGGGAGGAGCAAACACAGCAGAGATCGATCAGGGAACCTTTCAGAAAGAAGCTGCTTCCTCAGTGTTCAAAGAGACTAACTCTAACTCAGGTTTCTCATCCTCCACACTACTGACATTTTGGTGGGATCATTTTTTGTTGTGGAAGGATGTCCCACGCGCTGCAGAATGTTAAACAGCATCCCTGGTCTCTCCCCTCTAGATGCCGGTGGTTGCCCACTTGCCCAGTGTGACAACCAAAAACGTCTCCAGCCCTGTCAGATACCACCTGAGGGAGAAAATCACTCCCTCCTCCATTGGAGAATCACTTCTTTAGCTTGAAATGAAGGTCAAGAATAGCAGAGAGACTTAAGTAGAAACTCTTCACCTGGAATACCCAGAAGTAAAACCTCTAAACAGAATGGCTGACCTCCAGGAACAGGCAGAACCCAGGACAAGGAAAGGCACCAAGAAGACATTGCAGTTTGATGGAAGGGGTGAAGCTCAGGCTTTGGCATTAGACAGGCAGTGTGTCGCTTATTACTATGCAATAGTGGACAAACTGCTTTGCCTTGCAGAGTTCTGATCTCCCAGGCTATGAAAGGCACATAAAAATACCTACCACACAGGGCTGTTTCAGGGATCAGATGATGCATCTAGTGGTCCTCGCGTGATCAGAGTTCATGAAGTTAGTTTCCTCTTTTCTCTCGTTTCTACAACCAGCAAAGCCAAGATCTGGGCCATGTGACTGCTATCCAATTTCCTGCATATATCTCACTCTGATGAAGTCCTTTCTTACCCTCCAAACAGCTGGCCAAGGATGAGTCACCACAGATTTTCCATATCTCGGAAAATCAAGGGGGAGGGGTATTCCAGAAAAAAACAGCCGTGCACAGAGGGGAGGGCATGGAGAAATGACAAACTACAGACTATGCAGGAATGGCAAGTCGTCTGGGGGGCTCTAAAGCCTGCATGGTGCAATATCCCAACAGCTGAGGCTGAAAGATACTGGAACCAGATTTTGAATGGCCAGGTTCTTACGATTGGTCTTCCAAACTCCTACTCATCCTTCAAGACCTGTCCCAAAGAAGGACAAATAGATCCAATTATATGTGGGTCTGAAGCATTCAGAATGGAATAATCCCAAGAGCTGGGGCTAACAGGGAGTTTGAGACCAGATTTTGAAAGGTTAGGGTCTTGTTCTCTTTACTTGGCAAACTATTGCCCCATTGTCTTCGATCTCAAATGTCAAAATGTCATCTTCTTTGTGATACCAACCCAACTCCCCCAGGTAATCCACATGCTCTCTCCTTACTGTTCTGGGCTCCCACCACACTTCTAACAATATATATGCAGTACTCTAAAAGGCTGTTTTTGTGTCTGGCTCGTCTACCAGATAGTACACACCATGGTGGGAAGGGACCATATGTTATACATCTTCATGTTCCACATGCATAGCACAGAGCCTACATGAGAGATATTGTCAGTGGCCTACCGACATCCATCCTTCCCATCTTCCTTTCTAACAAAGTCCCAACCAGGCAACATGCTTAATTAAAAATAGTCACTTCCCCAGGCTCCCGTGAAGCTCAGGTGCCGTATGACTTGGCTAGGACCAATGGGGTGCAAGTTGAGTTCTATAGTGTGGGCTTCTAGAAAAGCCATGGCTTTTCTGATAAATGGTTAGACCCATTTGGCTCTTTGCCTTTAGTCCCTCATACCTGCACACTCTCTTCTCATTTTCTTGCCTATAACCTTGAACCCTACACCTCAAGGTAGGGCAGTCATCTTGTGACCATGAGGATGAAAAATCACACTGGGGATAGCTGAGCAGGCATCTGGAAGAATCCTGAGTCCTTAAGGGCTTCCTTGAGTAGCTGTGAGCTCCTGGGATTTTCGTCTTCTGAACTGGTTGTAAGATATAAAAATCAAACTCCAGTGTGATGACTCTATTGGACAGGCTTCTGCCACATGCTACATGCAATCCTAGATGCTATAACTGGGTGCTTAAGCAATGCTTAGTGAATTTTGATGATCCAATTGAACGGCTAGATAGCTACCTGCTCAGCTCAGGCCATTTAGCCTCCACTGGGCCAATGAACATGCATAAGGAATATATAACTGTGATGTAATCCTTCAGATTTTTTTTATTGGGTTAAAAATTCTTAGGGGTTCCCAGTATCCTTAATATGGCAAGGACCCCAGAGCTTTTTCATTCTGGGACACCATCTTTCTTTTAAGTGTTTGTCTGTTTGTTTGTTTAGAGACCATGAGCAGGGGAGAGGAAGAGAAAGATGGAGAGAGAGAGAGAGAGAGAAAGAGAGAGAGAGAGAGAGAGAGAGAGAATCGCAGGCAGTCTCCACACTCAACACATAGCCTGATGCTGGGCTCAATCTCACAACTGTGACACCATGACCTGAGCTGAAGTCAAGAGTCAGATGCTTAACTGACTGAGCCACCCAGGCACAGCAGAGCACCGCCTTTCTTAAAAGAAACTAATTTTGGGGGCACCTGGGTGGCTCAGTCCAGTTAAGCAGCTGATCTTGGCTCAGGTGATGAGCCCACAGTTCGTGAGTTCAGCTCCACATCGGGCTTTTTGCTGACAGCTCAGAGCCTGGAGCCTGCTTCAGATTCTGTGTATCCCTCTCTCTCTGCCCCTTCCCTGCTCAAGCTCTGTCTCTTTCTCTCTCAAAAATAAACATTTTTTTTAAAAGGCTAATTTTCCCAACTAGTTGATGTAAAGGTAAGATTGTAGCATGGGTATAAATATTGACTTTGGGATCATTTAGACCATTCATCTTTTCTTTCAACACTTATCAGGTGGCAGTAGGCACTATGCTGAGAACTGGAGATGTGGGAGTGTGAGCAAAAATAGCCCCCCTCAAGAAGCTTACAGTCTAGTGGGAGAGACAAAGCCTCCTTGAACAACAGCACTGATGAATACTTAATTATAAAGGGAGGTAAGTAACTACAGACAGAGAAGCATACTAAAAAGATCTGTTCTGGCCTATCTTGGTTTCCAGGGAAGGCTCCCAGGAGGAGGTGGAATTTAGGCTAACGTGGGCAGATGACCTGGGTTCAAATCTCCATCTGTCACTTACTAGCTAATGTACCTTGAGCAAATAATTTAACTCTTCTAGGCCTCCATTCCTACAATTGAAATGTAAAATTCATAATGTTTTCCACTTATATTTGCGAGGCTTAAGTGAAAGAACATCCACGGTGTCTGAGTCATAGGAAGCCCTTGTTAGGCAGTTACTCTTAGGATTTGTTTTGGTCCAAGCTCCCATGTGCTTGGGGGTCAGATGCTGGCAATCCCCACCAGTTCAAACTTGTAAGTCCTCTGCTCAGGAAATCACATGCTGGGAGAGGATAAGAACAAAGGCTCAGGCCAAGAGGAAGGATAATTAAGTCCCCAGGGCTGACCCCAGCAAGGCCTCCATCTCCAATCTCCTCTGACTCTGCCCCGTCCATGGGGGTTCCAGTTACCTCAAGGTTTGGCTGGCTGATGTCAGCCTGATGGGTGGGGGGAGGTCGTGAGAAACATCCCCCACCCTGTGATACCCTAGGGAGACTCAGAGGGGGCTCATAGAGCAAGATCAGCTCCTCCATAGCCATCACTTCCTCTGAACTCCCACCAGAGGGCTGTGGGGCAGGGCCACCCATGGTAGAGAAACTCAGGTAAGTCTGCTTCCCTCCTTTGAGCCTCAACTCCCTCATCTGCAAATAGGTAATTAGATGAAATTGTGCTTCTCACACTACGCTGCATGTTAGGATCATCTGGGAGAGATTTTTTAGAAACCCAGAACCCAGATGGGCTCCCAACCCACTCAGAATCTCTGGGTGGGACCCAGGCACCAGCATTTTCCAGACTCTCCAGGTGATTCCAGTGTGAAAGCAGAGTTGAGACCTGGGCTACACAGATCCTAAGGGTTCTTCCAGCTCCAAGGTCGGATGCTACTTCCAGCTCTGTGGCCTCAGAGACGGGACAGAAAGCCTCTGTGCCTCCGTTTCCTCACAAGTAAAGAAAGGGCACTAACAACTTACCCTTCATGAAAGTGTCATGAGGATTAAAAAGATTCATTTCTATAAGGTGCTGATAATGGTGATGGGCACCACAGAAAGCCTCCAACGTGGGAGTTGGGGGATGTTCTTATTGTGACCATGAAGAAGGAAGAGGAAGAGGAAGGGAGAGGGACTCTGTGTCAGCCCCCTACCTCTGTCCCTTCTCCCCACTGTACCCATGACTCCTGCAACCATGAAAGGAGGGCACATTCAACTCTCACGTCCTTAGGAGCCCAGGAGGCAGGGGCATGGCATTTGAGAATCCCCCTTGGAAGAAGAAAGGATGGCTGAGTACAGCCCCTCTGCGGGAGCCTGGTGTCGCACTGCCCAGCATCTCCAGACAACTGCTAGAAGGAATCGTAGACATTACCTAGTCCTAACTTATTTAATCAGTAAAGACTCTGAGGCACAGAGAGGTTAAGTAATTCATCCAAGGTCACGCAGACTTGGGCCTAGCCAGGCCTCAAATCCAGGCTTGGTTTTGTGTTTTATTAACTTCGGTCTAGAAGTCATTCAAAAGAAAATAATAGCGTGCTGCAGCCTTCTCTCAGAGGACAAAATCCATCAGCATTAATCAGTCTTTTTTGCTTTGGCAAGGAAGCCTTATCTCTTCCTTCTAAGCAGACACTGTGCCTACAGCTGAAAGAGCAATCGTGATAATTAATAATAATATTTTGCACTTGGAATTTTCCCCTGGCAGCAGCTGCTCGGCGAGCATCCACTCATTCAGCCACACGGTATCAGCCAATCAATCAGTCCACAGGAGCCCATGGCGTATCTGCTGCCAGCCTCTTGGCCTGTGCTGGGTGTTTGGAGGGGCCCAGCAGCATAAGAAACAGTTCCAGCACTCAAAGAGTGGGGCGGGGGGCGGGGGAGGAAAAATAAACCCAACAAGAGGCTGTCACTGACAGAGGCATCAGGCCTTTGCAACATCAGCTTCTGCGGCATGGCAATAAAAGTCAGATACCATTACAGGAGCTTCTGTTTGATTTACCATCCTGTTTCCTTCATCTGGAACATTGCCTGAAGTTCATTGGCCAAAGGTAACTAGCATTCATTCCAGAATAATGCGAGAGCACCTACTACACAGAGAAGCTTAAATGAGTTAAAGCATGGAAAAGCTCTTAGAACAAGGCCACACGTGTGAAAGCACCCCATAAATGCTAGCCATGAATGGTGCTGTCTGTATCAGCGAGGGTCGCACTCAGGAAGCAGATGGAAGGCTCAAAAGGTTTGCCAGGAAGAGAATGTAATAAAGAGACTGTTTAGGAGGTGTGGGTGGGTTAAGGGGAGCTATAAAGGATGGTGAAGCACCCAAGGGGGCAGCAATAGCAGAATGCTTTTACTATTCCAGATCTTGAGGGACAAGAAAAGAGGCCATGGAAGAGAGAGTTCCACAGCGGCTGTGGCACAGAGAAAAGCAGCAACAGCTGGTGTGGGTGAGACCCACCACAGCCAGGCAGGAGAGAGTGGAGAGAATAGAGGCCCCATTTCTCTTTCAGCTTGTCTTCCAATCCCCTCTTGGTGCTTCCAACTAGAAGCTAGAAGTTACGGACAGCTGACTGATGGGTGTGAAGTGGTCAGCCTGAGGGGACACAGAACAGGTCAGAGGACAGCAGATAAGAACCCAGCAAGAGGCAGTAGAAGTGGAGGGCAGGGGGAACGAAGATTGACCAAAGGGAAACACAACCAATAATTCAATATGGCGGTGATGTTTTGGCATGACAATACTTTCATGCCATTGGCCCTAAATCTTTGTTCTAGAATTCAGGCAATGACCTTGAGCCAAAAGCTTTAAAGTTTTGAAAATGTAGGTCCTTTGAAATGGAAAGTAGTGCGAAACTCTCGGAAAATTTACCCCCCAAACTTGGGTTTTAGAGTAGCCCAAGGAAGGATCCTGATAAAGCTCCCCTCATATTTATGTGAGCCTCTCTTGCAGTTCTGATCCCTCTTCTGTGAGAAAGTCGGCCTTCAAGCTGGGCTTTCTTCCCCTTTCCT